GTGGGGGTGAGGAAGGGAGGGGCAGGCCGTCCCATGCTGTCCTCAGCTGGGGGAAGAAACCAGGCAGCACAATTCCGTGACTCCACCAAAGCCACCGACTTAAGCCGGGGCCCCTCCCGCCCTCCCTCACTTCCCCCCATGGCAACTTTTCCTGGTTCGCATTCCTTTTGCTGGGAACACCACTATTTAATTAAAGACGACAGACTTTTGTTTTTCTCTCCTTCCTTCCTCCTCCCTCCCATCCTCCAGGCCTGGATGCCAAGGAGACCCACCAAAAACATGCGGGGAACATTTGTTACGGCTTTGAAGATAAAAGTCGGTTGAAGTAAGCCCGCGATGTATTTCAAGTTTCCCCTAAAGCATGGAGCAAGCTGCCTGGCAGTTTAGGAAAAGGGGGGAATGGGAGGGGAGGAGGGGAGGGCCTACCAAAAAAAAATGTCATTCTGCAGAATACTTTGTAAAAATAAACAGGCGGAAGAAACCCCTAACTTGATTAATGGAAATCCACTCAGTCGGCCTCTGTCTTGGGCCGCAAATGCGTTTGTTCATGCGGCTCGATCGGATCGTTTTCATTGGGCTTTAAAACAAAGATGTAGATCATAAACTAGCGATGCTGGGGGGAGGCGGGGAAGCTTGCAGGTCTGCTTTTAAAGGGCCCTAGCGACTGAGCCCCACCCACCACGTTCTGACCTGGACCAGGGGACAGACAGCAGCTCCAGTTCCAGCCCAGCCTCAGGATGCAGAGACAGGCGGACGAGAAAGGCCCCGCTCAGGTAGCGGAAGCGGCGGAGGGGCAGATGGGAGCTTCTCCCAGAATCAGAGGTGATTCCAGACGTGGCCTCACCTCCCAACACTGGCCCCTGCCACAGAGCGGCACCCAAACACACACACACACACATCTGAGAACTCCACTGGCCCCCTCCCCAGCCGGTGGACAAGACCAAAGAACTAACCAGACCTGAGACTCAGCCTGTTCCCCTCAAAGTTAAAAAAAAAATTAAATGTCACATCAAAAAGTGAATCCACGCTTTGATCTGGGCTCACCGGAGTTCCACGCAGACCATCTGAGAGCCCGTGCAGCGCTCGGAGCTCCGAGGGCCTCTGTGAACGCCAGTCCCAGGCCGGGCGCTGCTGGACTCACTCCCTGTCACATCTACCGCTTCCCAGGGACTATCCCACCGCGGGGACCTCAGGAGGGGGCCCCGGCTGGAGCCGAATGAGGCGCACTCTCTCTCCTCCTCCTGGGCCAGGCTGGGGGGTCCACCGGCTCTCAGTGGCCCCCAAGCTCTGCCACCCAGATGGCAGCCTGACCTACAGGCAGATGGGACTGATGGATGCACAGACACACGGAACATATTTGGAAGCCAGCACCGTCCCTGACACCCCTCCATATCTGCTCTCTCCCCAGCCCCACCACTAAGGCCACCTTTGAATGCTGGCCACAGAGGGAGTCAGAGCAGGGCCCCAAGTCCCCCAGCTCGGCTGGACCTGAACCACCTCCTCACCTAGGACCCGTCCCCAACCAGACAGGACTGCCACCCCTGTCACCGCTAAAGTTCCTGCAGGCCTGGGGCAAGGGGCATGTTGGGGGAGCAGGGGCAGCTAAGAAGAGATTCTGGGCTTAGCTGTGCCAACAGGGTGCTAAACATTTGCGGGGAGGTATGGAGACCCATCTCCGAGATTGAAAAAGGGGTGTGTGGGGATCGTACCCGGGTTCCTCTGCCGACAGTGCCCGCCGCCCGCAGCTGTCGGGGTCCGGAGCCGCCTGGGCAGCGCTGCCTCCCGATCCACTCCTCAATGCCCTTCCGGGCCCAGGCAGCGCTCACCGCGAAGCTGTCACCTGGGCGGGAGGACACAAGCCCCTGAGTCCGGCCTCTGGGCCCAAAGTTACTGGAGAGAGGGGGGACTGGTGGGCGCTGCCGAGCAGGGGGGCGGGGCGGGAGGGGGCTGAGAGACCCACCCAGGAATCAGGAGAGGGGGGTTCAGAGAAGCCCCGAGAGCAGGGACCCAGAGGGGAGGGCGAAGGGGGAGCAGTACCCTCCCAAGAAGGAAGGGTGTGGGGAACAGAAGTGCGAGCCCCCCCCACCCCCGGAGGACAGAACCGCTGAGGAGACAGGGGAGGGTCTGAACACGATGCATGAACAGGGGGCGAGGCGGCCTGAGGGTCAGGGGAAGGGGCGCGGGGGGCGCAGGAGCCACGA